GGCCCAGTCCCCCCAAGCTCTCAGGCCCGGCGTCCCCCACCCCAACTCCCCGGTGCTGTATCCCTTCTCCTGGACCTCTCGAGCTCCAGGCTGCCCCCCGCCCCCCTACTGAGCCAGGCCGGGCGGTAGGCGGTCCTGGGGCGCTCCGGGAGCCCTACCGGTCGCCCCTTGCTCTGAGGCTGTTTGGGGGGCCTGGAATGGGGGGCCAATCCAAGGTGCACCCCTCCTGGAAGAGCATGGCCCTGGGGAAGGGCGCTGGGGAATCTGGGCTGAGGACCCCTTGGACTATTATGGGCGCTGGGAGACGCCCCTCCCCCAAGGGGACTTGGCTGGGAGGCCTCGGCCCCCCAGGTGGTTGGGGCGCTCCGATGTGCATCCCCCTCTCTGGGCGCTTTGGAGGGGCGGTAGAGGGCGTATCCTGCCCCCTATCAAGGGCAGGCCTTAAAACGCGCCCCCACGGCCTGGGGGTGGCTGGGGACTGGCGGCTCCGGGCGCACCCACCCCCTCGGCCTCCCCCCGGGAGAGGCGGGGGCAGGAAGCGGGGGCGGGGGCCGCGCCAGAGGCTGTAAACATGGGCCCAGGAAGTGGGGCACGAGGTGGGGGGGCTCTGCAGCTGCGGCGGCCGCCGCCTCCTGGCCACCCGAGGAAGGAGGGGGCAGCCCGGCGCGCCCGGCACTGACCCGCCGCCCCCTCCTCCCAGGGCTCGTCGCACCTCCCCCAGCAACTCAAATTCACCACCTCTGACTCCTGCGACCGCATCAAAGACGAGTTTCAGCTGCTGCAGGCTCAGTACCACAGGTGAGCTGGGGCTGGGGTGTCTCTGGAGAGGAGATTGTCACCCCCCATATACATGGACTTTAAAAATATATGAACGGAGGGTCTTATCATATGCCAGCTTCTAGCCTAAACACTTGGCCATTAAAAATCCAACCAAACTCGTTGCCCTTGCTTGGGACACATAGTGACCCTGTAGGACAGAATAACAGTGCCCCATAGGGTTTCCAAGGAGCTGCTGGTGGATTCGAACTGCTGATCTTGTGGATAGCCAGCCGAGCTCTTAACCACTGTGCCACCAGGGCTCAGCTTGGCCCGTAGTGACATTTATTCTTCAAACCAACCCCATTTCACAGATGAGAAAACCGAGGCACAGAAAAGTTGAATGACTTACCCAGAGACACGTCTGTCCGGCTTCAGAGCCCTCCCCCAGTCTTCAATAGGTGAAAGACCTCCAAGCACTAGAGTTAGAGAGATGGACGCTCCGAGGCCAAGGAACGCCCCCCGCCCCAATTTTTTGTTTTTGCAATCCTCTCTCTGGCCAGTTTTGGGGAGACGGTTCCTGGCTTGCAACAGTTTCTCAAACGAGGTTCTGCCTCCTGAATTGAGTCATCTAACATTTCTACAGGCCCTGCCATGTGCCAGGTTTAAGGGGAAGGAAGTGTTATTGACCTTGTTTTACATGTCAGGAAATGGAGGCTCAGAGAGGTTAGGGGTTGCCTCAGGGTGCACAGTGAGGAAGCTGAGATTTGAACCCAGCCTCTCCAGGGCTATGAGTGCATGTTCTCAACCCTCCTGCTATGGAAGGGTCCTCGCCTGGGAATCAGAAGTGGGTCCCATGGCCAGAAATCCTAGCGGGGCCTTGGACCCTCTGTGGACCTGTTTTCCCACCCATAAAAATGTTCTTGGAAGGATCCTGGGTCTTCTCCATGAAAAAAGGGGAATAGCGATTTGTTTTTTTTAACAAATATGCAACGTTTTTGGGTATTCCACATATGCTGAATACCGAACATAAGTTCTCTTGTTCAGGCCTTCTTGCAGTTCTGTTACTGTACCCATTTTAGAGATGAGGAAACTGAAGCACAAGGAGTTGAAGGGACTGAAGCAGCTCAGTGGGCAGGCCCCAGGGACTTTGTGCTAGTCTTGTCATGTGGAAGGTTTGGGGGCTTCACCTGACGCAGGCCCAGCTCACGGTGATCGGTCCCAGAGGCCAAAGGTCAGAGGACAAGCCAGACCCGCTCTGTCAGCTGGGCCTGAATGTCTTGCTGTACTTTGGGGGGTTCTACCATGTCAGGGGCAGACACAGGATCAGCCAGACAGGATGGGCCTTTCTACAAGAAGGGCCAGAGATCCAGGGTTTGGGGTGAAATTGCTTTTTTTTTTTTATATTGCCAAAAAATGCACATTTTTAAAGAAAATAAACTTTTGTAAGGGGCGAAGAAACCCCAGCTGTGGATCACCTCTGAACTATGGGATGCCGTGACCTGGTCAATCTGGAGGGGTGGCAGTAAGAGCCACAAGCACTTATGGAGTGCCTACTGTATGTCAGGCCCTGTTCTCCAAGCTTTACTGTCTTAATTTATTGAATCCGTACAGCCCCACCCTGGAAGGTTGGTACTTAACAGAGGAGGAAACCGAGGCTCGAGAGGGAGAGGGATTTGCTCAGGGTCACACAGCATGGAAGGGCTGAGCTGCGAACCCACTCCCCCTGTCCCTCTGGCTCTCGTACGATGGGGGTGGCCGAGGTGGGTATGGAGGGACAGCCAGTCCATGGGGACCCGCTGCTTGGTTTTATTTAAATAAGCTAAAGGACAGCGGCTTGTTACCCCCTAATCCTTTTCCTGGGTAGTTGGATCCACTGCCCGCTGCCTTCTGCCCTGATGCCTTCACGGGAGGGGGGAGCTGCTTGGAGAAAGCTCTCACCTCATCTTTGCTGGGGGAGCCAGAGAGAGACCGAAGGGTCTGTGTCTGCAGTTCCCCACAGGGGAAAGGATGCATTTTCTCATGGCTAAAGAAAGCCAGCAGGGAGGGAGGAATGGACAGGTCTGGTGCTGTGAGCTCGTCCAGCCCCCTTCCCGTTTACACCCCTGGGAAATCAGGACCACTTCCAGATTCCCAAGTTCGTCTGCTCCCAGCCCCCAGGCCTGTCCTCAGCCCCGGTGCTGTTTCTGTTTATTCCTCCTGCTTCCTGGCTGTGTGACCTTGAGCCAGTTACTCAACCTCTCTGAGCATCCATTACATCATCCGTCCATTACATCATGGGTAAAACAGAGTGAACATGCTACCACCGGTTGAGTGAATGTGTAGAAGTTTCTAGAATCCCTGTTGGTGCGTCCATTTGCTCTGAAGTCTATTATAGTTTTTATTATTATTATCACTTTTTCCATTGCCAGACCCAGAAGGCTGGTTTCATCAGCCCCAGTTTATAGTTAGGGAACTGAGGCACACAGCTCCTTGACCCGAGTCACAGGGAGCCTGCGTGTTGTCACCTTACCTGCCCTCAAGTCCAGCTGGACCTGTTCATCCCCCGTTGAAGTCTGTGGGTTGACCTTCCAGGAATGGCCCAAGCTTGCCTTTGCCTGGGACTTGGGTAGCACCTCCCTTCCTTGGAGCCTCAGTTTCCCCCTGCACATACTACGGGGGATCTCACCTGGATCCCTGCCCCTCTCCCCTGTCCTTCCTCAGCCTGAAGCTCGAATGTGACAAGCTGGCCAGCGAGAAGTCGGAGATGCAACGTCACTATGTGATGGTAACGTCACCCCAGCCCCTGGGTCCTGCGGGCGGGGGAAGCGGGAGACCCCAGATCCACCTCCACCACGGGCAGCTGTTGCTAAAACCGCAGCCACCGCCTCTGGGGAGGATTCAGGGTCTGTTCTCTGCTCAGCGGTCCTGGCTGGGCTAAGCCTGGTGCGCAGGCCTGGCTGCTGGCCGGCCGAGGCAGTGACCGAGTTGCCAAACCGCCGGGTTGCAGCCTGGGCCTGCCAGGTCCCCCAGCTGTCCTTGGCAGCAGCCCCTGGCCTGGCAGTGAGAGCCAGAAACTGACATGGGGAAGCTTCAGGGTCCCTCCCCGCCGCCCGCCCTCACAGCCCCGCCATCCCAACGCTTAACCCTTCCACACCCAAGGTTTGTGGGGAGTGCTCCCGGGCCAGAGACTGATCCCTCTTTAAGTCCTGCTTATTAGGGGATGGCATTGCATTCCTTGGCCTGACATTTGAGGCCCTGTCCTTCTGAGCTGCCAGGATCACTTGCTCAGTTTCATACCCAGCAGATGGAGATTTTGGTGTTAGAATCTCCCAGCTTTGCTCCAGCCTGTGCCCAGCAATGCTGGAGTCTCACAGAGCCCAGATTTTCCAGGCTGTGGGGGAGACAGAACCAGACAGTGAAGCAGGGGGTACCCAGAACTGAGAGATCTCAGACTGGGCCGTTGCCTGAGATGGAAAACGGAAGGCTGTGTGGAGGATGGGGCATTGCAGCCAGGGTATTGAAGAATGAGTAGGAGCTTTCTGGGCACAGGTGCTTGGAAACGAACTTGGTGTTCTCCTGGTAGGGGCGCGGGTCATAGGGAGCCCTGGAAGGGTTTAGAGCAAAGGAGGGACAGGGTCAGATGTGGGGCGTGGGGAGGGTGGCTGCTGGCCCCAGAGCCAGGCCTCAGCAGGCTTTGTTTATCCTCAATTATTTATACCCAGGGAGGCAAACTTTCTGGAGTCTGGGGCCACCCGCAGACAAGACACATAAAGATAAAAGATTAGGAGCCAGGGATGTGTGGGGAGGGGTGAGGGCTCCATAATTAGCCCAGGAAGCAGGGGAGCCAGGCCGGGGCTGAGACCTAATGCCGCCCCCCCCGCAGCTCCCACTGCAGCCCCAGCAGGTACAGGGACCCCTGCTCGTCTCATGCTCTCTTTTTCTGTCTCCCACCCCCCTCTCTCTGTTTCCCCCCTGCCTGTCTCTGTCCGTCTATCCGTGTCTCTGTCCCCCCGTTGTTGCTGTCTCTGTCTCCCCATCTCTCCCCCACCCCGTCTCTCGATGCCCCCACCCCCCTCTGTCACCCCCATGCAGTACTACGAGATGTCCTACGGCTTGAACATTGAGATGCACAAGCAGGTACGCCTCCCTTTGCCTCTCCCCGCTTCCCCCCGTCCCAGCCCCCCGGCAGGTAGGATCCTGCCCCTTGGCAGAGCCCCAGGTCCGCCCTGTTATCCTGTTACTGCCGCACCCCTCCCCCACACTCTTCTCTGCTCTCTCAGCCTCCTGGGGAGCTTTTCTCCCTGACTGGGAGGGCCTGCCAGCCCCCCTTGTCACTCCTTCGTGACTGTGGAGGGGAGGGGAAGTGTGCCAGCACACCGCATGACCCCCCGGAAACCCCTCGCCCCAACTTTCGCCCTCCCTGGCCTCGCTTTTGCCATCTGTGCCCCCGTGACGGGGCTAACGTCAGTCATGATGGTCACAGAATAGTGGTGCCAACAGCCCCCACCCCTTCCTCCTTCCCTCCCATGGAACACTTACTGCCTACTGAGCACCTTGCTTTCCGAGGTCCCCAGAGACCATAGGGTGAGCCCCCCTTCGCCCCTAATTGTGCGAGTTGGGCCTGGGAGGAGCTCCGCTGACCCGCCGGGCCCCTTGGGTAGACAGGGCCCCTGGCTGGCGTCCCATCAGGGCCTCTTGGGGCTGGCCCGCCCTGCTGAAGCCACTGTGTGTTGCAGGCTGAAATCGTGAAGAGGCTGAATGGGATCTGTGCCCAGGTCCTGCCCTACCTGTCTCAAGAGGTGAGTGGGGCTGGGCTGGGGGCCGGGCGGCAGAGGGGCCCTGACCTCGGCCCAGGCCCTACGCACCGCCATCTGGGGGCAGCGTGCTGGGTGCCCAGGCCTCTTCACACCTCCCAGATGCCTGCTGTGGCCCCATGGTTGTAGGGAAAAGACTCCTCCGGCTGGAGGAGCGCCAGGGTGCAGGGTGCATGCAGGTGCTGGAGGGAGGGGCTCACCCCGCCGTGTGGAATTCCCAGCCTGAGCAAGTCATTTCCCAGTGAAAAATGTCAGATATGCCAAGACTGCATCGAGGGTTTTTTACCCTTGTCTCTTCCGCCTTTTACCTTCCTGAGACTCGCCTGCCAGGCCGCTGGGTGCCTAGGGCCAGGGGGTTTGTGGGGAGGGAGAGCCCTCAGGCTCTCACATGTGCACAGATACGCAGAGATGCAAGCACACAGATGCAGGCATATAGACGCACAGATGCACACAGACACACACACAGAGACATACACACACAGACACGGCAACGTACGCACAGAGATAGATACACACGCAGACTCGTGCCCAGAGACAGATACACACAGACACATATGCACCAAGACACAGACACACAGACACATATGCACAGAAACAGATACACACACAGACACGTATGCACACAGATATACACGCAGACGCACACAGACACAGATGTACACACAGACACGTATGTACAGGACAGATATATACAGACACATATGCACACAGATACACAGACATGTATGCACAGAGACACATATGCAGATATGTACAGAGACAGATATATACAGACACGTATGCACACAGACACAGATACAGACATGTATGCACAGAAACATATATGGAGATATGTATGTACGGAGACAGATACATACAGACACGTATGCACAGAGACAGATACACAGATACAGACACGTGTGCACAGAGACAGATACACACAGACACAGATACAGACACGTGCGCACAGAGACAGATACAGACACGTGCGCACAGAGACAGATACAGACACGTGTGCACAGAGACAGATACACACAGACATGTATGTACAGAGGCAGGTACACACAGGCACATATGCACAGAGACTCCTGCAGACACACACACACAAATACAGATGCATATGGGTACAGAGACACACAGACATACACAGGTACGCACAGACACAGATGCATATACATGAGCTCACAGCTACACATGCAGGCACACAGAGGTACAGACACACTGACATGCACAGAGACAGATATACAGGCTGAGATATATCTGCACACAGACATATACACACAGAGGTAGACACCCACACAGACATATACACAGACACACAATCAGATAAACACACCCAGAAGTATGCAGACACAGACACAGGCATACCCAGATACAGAGGTGGACACACAGACAGACATGTTGGCACGTATCTGCACACAGGCGTGCAGACAGACACAGGCATACCCAGATACAGAGGTGAACACACAGACATGTTGGCACGTATCTGCACACAGGCGTGCACACACACACAGGCATACCCAGATACAGAGGTGGACACACAGACAGACATGTTGGCACGTATCTGCACACAGGCATAGACACAGGCATACAAGCAGACATGCAGATGCACAGAGATACAGATAGGCTGACACAGATGCACCCACACACAGGCACACGCATACACACTAAAAGCACACGTGTGTGCATACACACACCCAGGGGAACCACGCACCCAGCTCTCCCATCCCCTCAGGTTCTCGGAGACTTTTGTTGTTGGTGGTGGAAATATACACAGCAGAACATACACGGATACAACAGCTTCTCCATGTACAATTAACTAACATTGGTTACATTCTTCGGGTTGTGCAACCATCCTCACCCTCCTTTTCTGAGTTGTTCCTCTCCCATTAACATAATCTCATTGCCCCCTAAGCTTCGTACCTAACGTTTTGAGTTGCTCCTGTCAATTTGATCCAACAGAGGTAGTTCTTAAAAGAGCATAATGCTTAAGGCAGATGTTTTTGACTAGGTAAGCTAAACTATCGTTTGGTTTTAAGAAGACGTCAGGGAATAGTTTGGGTTTCAGGTTTAACCTTTGAGACTCTTGGTGAGACCTCTCCACCCTCACCCCAGCCAACACCAGGCCAGATAAGGTCTAGCTCCTGCTCCCCCATACCCAAACCAAACTCATTGCCATGGGGTTGATGCCCACTCATAGCAACCTTACAGGACAGAGTAGAACTGCCCCATAGGGTTTCCAAGGCTGTAATCTTTACAGAAGATCTTTAAAGATCTTTCTTTCTCCTGCAGAGCGACTGGTGGTTTCAAACTGCCAGCCTTTTGGTTAGCAGCCGAGTGCTTAACCACTGCACCACCAGGGTTCCTTCTGCTCCCAGCTAGTCGATAATTTATCATTTCCTCTTTAATGCCTACCCACATCCCCAAGTCCTTCAGATGAAATACAGTAAAATACCCCTGGACAACAAGTCCATGGGCACATGGGGTACAGTGAAAGTCCCAGAGAAAAGAGACCCTTGGGGCCCTATGGACCTAGACTTGTGCTTTCCTTTCTTGGTGGGGGCTTCCCAGCAGCCAAGGCGGAAAGGGAGAGTGGAGGATTCTAGCATCCGATAGCAGGAGAGACAGATGTTAGGAGAGGGCTGTTGGGGGGAGACACCATGCATCTGGACTCAGGAGGCCTGGGTTTCAGCCCTTCCAGAGTTCACTGGGCCTTCCCTGACTGTGGAGGCGGAAGGACTCAGATCAGTGGGTCTTAGAGCAGTCTCTGAGCTCCGGGCATCAGGACGACTCTGTATGGTCGGACAGTTTGCGCACTACACAAAAGCCCACACCTTTTTCTTCTTCACACATGGCATAGGGTTTCTCTTGGTCTCGCCCAAAAGCCTCATCTTAAGCCCCTGCCACCAACCCCTTTAGGTTTTCTGTGTATCTCTATTTGTCCCCATTTTTCAGATGAGGAGACTGAGGCTTGGGGAAAGGAAAATAGCAGGAGGGAGGGGACTTTCTGGTGGGATGGAAAGTCATGGGGTAGATGGGTTCTGCTGGGCTTCCGGGGTCCCCCCAGGATAGAGGCGTATCACCTGACTCCTCTCTCCTCCCCTCTCCTTTCAGCACCAACAGCAGGTCTTGGGAGCCATTGAGAGGGCCAAACAGGTCACCGCTCCCGAGCTGAACTCCATCATCCGAGTACGTCCAGAGCCTGGGGTTGGCGGGTGGGCTGTGAGTGGGCCCCAAGGCAGCAACAGCTGACGCTTCCCTTCCTTGTCCCTGCAGCAGCAGCTCCAAGCCCACCAGCTGTCCCAGCTGCAGGCCCTGGCCCTGCCCCTGACCCCGCTGCCTGTGGGGCTGCAGCCACCGTCGCTGCCGGCAGTCAGCGCGGGCACGGGCCTTCTCTCGCTGTCTGCGCTGGGCTCCCAGGCCCACCTCTCCAAGGAGGACAAGAACGGGCATGACGGTGACACCCACCAGGAGGATGATGGGGAGAAGTCGGATTAGCGGGAGGTCGGGATGGGGAGGGAGGGTGGGGGGACCGAGGGGAGACAGACACGGAGAGAAAGGAACATGCAGCCCAATCCACAGTACAGCTGGCCACTGGCTGACCTCCGGTAGAATTTATGGCAGCGGCCTGCTGGGGCCCTCGCTCCGCTGGCTGGCCTGCTGTCCCCTAGCTTCGCACCTACCCCGACTTCTGGCCTCCCTCCTCCCACTTTGCAGCCCCTGCACCTGCTCACACCACAGATGAGGCCCACTGAGGCCTGGAGGGGGCGCATGGGAGGCCAGGTCCAAAGGGAGCAAAACCTCAAGGAGTTCAACATCCCCTGCACTTCCCTGTTTGCACATGTGTAACTGACAGTCCGCCCTCCAGCCCTCTGGCACACACCACAGCCACCTTCCCAGCCACTGCATGCGACACGATGCCAGCTGCCCCCTCCCTGCCCTGGGCACCCCTTGTCTCCCCACCCCCCACCCCATCTGCTCCCTCCTCCACCTCCTGCCTACCCTCCTGGTGTGGGATGCTCCATGCCCGCCTGGTCCTCTCCCCTCCGCCACGGCAGAGGGGGCAGAGGGTGGCGAGCTTAGCTGGGACCAGCATGGTGGGTGTGGGTGACCCAGGCTTCCCTCCTCCCCTTCCCAAATAAAGATGAGGGTACTCACGTTGTCTTGGTTTTTTTTTTTTTTTTAATTGTATTTTTTCTTTTTCCAGTACACTAGCTTGTCTTTTAAGAAAGGGGATATTAAAGAAAAAAAAAGGAAAATGTTTAAAAAATAATAATACACAACACCCACACCTGTGTCTGTATATAGCCTCTTAGACCGTCAGCTTTCTCGTCGCGTGCGTTCAGTCGTCCGATCTCTGCCGAGAAGTGGAGATGCTGTATAGCGGGTGGGCTTAGCTGTGCCTTTCAAATAAAGATGTGAGAAGGTTGGTCCTGTGTCCCCGCCTCTCTCTCTCGGGCTGTGCGCAGTGCCCCCCTTCCCAGGGGAGGAGGGGGCGTCCTTCGAGTGTGAGCACCCTTCCCCTATGTCGTACGGGACAGGAGATCAGGGGCCCAAGGGGAGTCCGGGATCGCACCTACACCAGTGTGCATAGTCCCAGCACCTGAATTTGATGCTTAGCCCAGAGAGGGCGGCTGATGGCTTTTAGTTTGCACGGCATGGCTGGGGGCAGAGCTGGGGGCTTGAGGTTGAGCCAGCTGTTTTGATAGGTGGGGTAGAGGGGTTCCTTTGGAAGTCGTTTCTGAGCCCCAGGTCAGAGGGTTCCTAAACTACGTGTTCCTTAGAAACTGAAGGCTTGAGACTGGAGAGCGCGGCTGCCCCGTGCCCACACATCCACTGTTTCACGTGGCAGAGAGCGGGACCCCCAGCTGAGCCTCCACCCTCCAAGGAGCACCCTGAAGGCCCCACCTCCTCCACCCCCTGGGGAAGCTCTGATCGTGGCCTTAACCCTTTCCTGCTCTGGGGCCTGGGACAAGAGGGCCTTGGGCTGCCCAGCCAGGAAAGGGGGAATGGGAGTCCCTGGGTGGTGAAACTAGAGGTGCCTAGGAAGAAAGGCCCGGCAATCTACCTCCACAGAATCAACCATTGAAAACCCTACGGGTCATTAACAGTCCCATCCGAAACTGATTGTAAAAATGGAGCAAGTCTGGGCAGCATTTCCTTCGATCGTGCGTGGGGTCACCGTGAGTCGGGGGCAAGTCAATGGCAGCGGACCACACTAGTCAACAACGCAATGCATCCCACACGTAATGTAATGGTGGACAAAAGGAGCTGGGTACAGAGAGGAAATGCTGTGTGATTCTATTTATATCATGAATAAAAACAGCCCTAAGAGGAGTATCTTGTCGGAAGTGGTGGGGGGTTACACCCTTGAGGCGTGGAAGTAACGGGGAGGGCCATGAAGGCGGATTCTGGGAGGCTGGTCCTGTTCTGGTTCCTGACCTGGGGGCAGAGTCCATGAACGTGTTCACTTTGTGATCATTTGTTGAGCTGTTTGCTTGCAGTTTGTGCGTTCTGTATTTGCATTATATTTCACAATCACGAAAATTATAGAAATTGGATTATCCTCAGCTCTCAGGAGACCTTGAGAACTTAGCCTGCTGCCCACCCCTCCAAACACCCCTCCTTGGCAGGCTACAGCCGAGTTCAGCATCTTGTTGTCCCTTGCCTCAGGGCCTTTGCACATGCTGTTCCCACTGCCTGGATCAGTGTTTTTTCTTTCTCTTCCCCAGTGTTTTCATCCTTCCAGACGCTCCAGAAGTCAGTCTTTTCTGGAGGCCTTCCCTTCTGTCCCTCCTTCTGTCCCTCCTCCAAAGTAGGGTTCCATGACACCCCCCCAAATCAAAGCAAACTTGTTGCTGTCAAGTAGATTGCAACTTCTGGCGACTCCATATATGCAGAGTAGAGCTGTGTGCCATAGGGTTTTCAAGGCTGTGACCTTTTAGAAGCAGATTGCCAGGCCTTTCTTCCAAGGCACCTCTAGATGGGTTCAAACCCCCAACCTTTTTTTTTTTAGTAGTTGAGTGCTTAACCATTTGCACTACCCAGGGACTCTGACACCCCGCCACCCTAAGGGAAAAAAAAAAAAATTGCTGTCAAGTCGATTCGACTCATAGTGACCCTACAGGACAGAGTAGAACTGCCCCATACAGTTTCCGAGGAGCACCCGGTAGATTTGAACTGCCGACCTTTTGGTTCACAGCCGTAGCACTTAACCACTAGGCAACCAGGGTTTCCCCGCCCTCCTACTCCCCACTAAATTGCCAGAATCTGAAGGCAATAGCAGTTATTAGTGATGGGTGATATAGTGGTTATGATCATGGGGTCTCCAGCATGGGTTTAAATCCTGGTCCCTCCTCTCATAACTGCATCATCTAGGCAAGTAGCTTTGGCTTCACCTCTCTAGGTCTCGGTTTTCTTATCTGTAAAATGGGTATAATCACAGAACCAACACTTGTTAGGAAGATCCTATCATTTAATCCCTGGAAATTGCTTACAACAGAGCCTAGCAGGTTTATTCAATAAACATTGATTGAAAACACACTCTGAGCTCCCAGGACACAGCAGGGAACAAAATAGACGGGAATCCCTGCCCTCAGGGCTAGGATATGGACCCCGGGTGGTGCAAACGGTTAAGTTTTGGGCTGCTAACTGAAAGGTTGGAGGTTTGAATCCACTCAGCAGCTCCATGGGAGATAAGACCTGGCGATCTGCTTCTGTAAGGATTACAGCCTAGTAAACCCTGTCGGACAATTCTAGTCTGTCACGCGGCGTCGCTGTGAGTCAGAATAGACTCCCAATAACACCCAACACCACCAGCGTGGCTGGGGTAGACAGGAAAATAAATCCGTAGAATGTGTTCATGGAGGAAAACAGGCAGCGGGTCAGTGGGTGCATTGATGGAGGACAGTAAGGCAGATAAGGGGGGACCGGAGGGTCGGCTCCATTTTTTGAAATTTGCACATTGGATGTTAGCGAATGTATTAAAAGCTCCGAGAGCAGATGTGGGTTCAAAGCGGGCCTCCCACCCTAATTACTACTGATCTGGGGGCGAGTGAATGGCTTGGCTGACCTCAGTTTCCGGGAAACTGTAGCGAGAATGAGCAGAAATCCTTCAAGAGCTCACTAGCTATTGGCTGACATTATTATTACTGTTATCGTTGTTATTGATGTCGCTGGCATATGAAGGGTCACAAACCTGGGGGTCTTCTGCCTGTCACTGCCTTGTCTATGACTCAGGGTCTCCCTCTGGGCCTCGGGGTCCTTCAGGGGAGCGGATGCCCCCCTCCCGTCGGACCCTCCCCCTCGCCCTGGGAGCAGTCCCAGGCGGGGTCGAGGTTGGGTCCAGGAGCTGCCAGGGGGCGGAGCGACAGGAGGGTCCCGAGGGAGCGTGGTCGGGCCGGGAAGCCAGGGCTGGCAGGAGGCGCCTTCCCCAGCCCCCTCCCCGCCACGGCCTCCCGGCGCTTAACGACTCCGCCGCCAGCGACCTCGGCTAATTGATCCGCTAATGGGCCCCGCGCTGCGGCCGAG